GAGACTCTAGGTATACGGGTTGGGAACACAAGGCGAGAGCCTTAAGGAGCCTAGATCAGCAGTACAATTAGTAGAACTGCTATGTTACACAGGCGTGACAGGCCAATGTAAATAGTAGTTGGAGAAGCAACGGGAGGATGCTGGGACAGCTGGTCTTGTCGTTCGCGATAGGGCGACGTGGGGCGGGACGGATCAATCAAATGATCCGGAACGCGTCGGCTGTTTGACAGGTCCTCTCTGCCGGGCATAGCTGCGGAGTAATCGCGGCTGAAACCGTGTAGGAATTAACTAACTAACTAACTAACCTTCCACCTGGTCTCTTCCGGCATCACCTACTTATGAAAACTAACTTTTGCTCGCTAATTGGCTTTGACTTCAAGCCAGATTTCCAACGAGTACACTTTTTCTCAAAGTCCGCAATGGAACCGTGTTTGATGTGTGCAGGTAGTGGTCAGAAATCAGGATTTGGTTGTGGGGTATGCCAGGGCTCCGGCCAGCAATAACGGCGTCGTGTGTGAGTGTCCTTTGGTGAGATAAAGAGCGAACCTGATTGGATTCCTAGGCATAGAAATGTTTTCGTCCTGGGCTATCGCCCTGGGGCAATGCCGCTGTGACAGCTTCAGCCTGCTTGTCACATTAGTATTAATAACAGACTCCAGACCGGGGAAGCGGGCCGATCTGTGTGCATCGTCTGTTTCTGCATATAAGAGTTCGACTTGCTTCATACACTTTCATATGGTCTTTCGCGCCGAACCCATCATGCAACAAAACCTGCCGACTACATCGTCGAGTTGTACGCCATTCGCCACAGCTCATCCGATTTCACCGCCGTTGATTACTGCCACGCGTGGAACCTACACTTGTTATATTGACTACGAGGGAAAACTTCATGCAATTACATGGCGAGGGGAATCTCAATTCCCAGATATTGTTGAAGACTTTTCACGGGCATGGAAACCTTTGGCCTCAATCATTCCTCAATTTTGCTCGAATGCATGTGTTCGACAAGAATTTACGAGCCCAAATACCGTTCTCATTCTTAGAAATGTGAGGTCTCGTGCTAAGGGAATCAGATTTGAGTGGGTGTAGCGACTTCATCAGTATCCTAGTGGTTTTGGGCTGACCATCAAGCAACGCTATGACCAAATCTTAATCACTGGACCATTTTCGGACTTCGGTGAACGAGCTATGCGCTTCCGCCCACGATGTTCTGGACGTTTTCAGCGCACGTTCTACTGCTGTCAAAGGTCGACGAATTTGTCGAACGAGGTGTAACACGCGAGCTCTTAGAAGTGCCCTTGTGTCCCCAAGCATGCGAACGCTATTTTAGACGGTAAATGCTTTTTTGCTATTTTTGTAACCGCGTCAGAGATGTCGGATCAGTCACCACTCAGGTCGGGAGAGGTTGCTGAGTGGGTGCGTGAATCCAACAATCGATCAGCCAGACTGGCAGCTCCTTAGGCTGACAGACCTTCCATCTTAAGGACGTTCGGAATCATCAACGAAATGTGCTTGCTCTCCTGACCTCGCTCTCCTGACCTCGCACTCCTGACTTCGCACTACTGACAACGACAGGTATAAAGATTCCGCACTCCTGCCCCTACCAAATTCAAGAGCGCGCCGTTTGTCATCAGCCAGTCAAATACGTGACCGAGCAAGAATCTAGCCGCGCACTAACCCTATCTCTTCACCTTGCCTCTTTCGCAAGCCCCCGATACCCACAATATAGAATACTACGGTGCATCTTTAACGAAGCAGTGCTATCTAAATGCAAGATCGACGAACTCGGGGTTGTGAAGCTTCGTACTCTTGGGCGCATAGATACCCTCGCACGATGCGCACATGACATAGGCTAAGCCACTCACGTAGCCCTGAGGCGTTGGCCTTTCGCTTTTCGAAACCGGAGGATGAATATTATCAGAGGCCATCGACAGATCCTCGAAGCCCTGCAATGCCTATTTGACCAGGTGCTCGCGCTCAGATTCGTCTGATCCACGGCTGCTGGCGTTAAGGACGGCAAGACTGACAGGATGTAGCCTCCATTTCCAGGTTGATCTCTTGAGCGTGGGTATATTCTTCCTCCATCCGCAAGTACACTAAATACACACTATCGAAGTGTTCCTAGTTGAAGCTGATGGGTAGCTTCTGGTGTAGCTCAGCAATGCCAAGGTGAATCCAGTGCGCCCCAGTCTGTACTTTGATTGTGAAGAATTTTGAGTCCTTGTTAGGTTCTAGGAAACCTATTCTGCCCTGATCTGCCCTGATCTGCCCCATGCAAGATACACACTTAGGTATAGGGCCGGGCTGTCCGTTTTTGTGAGACCACAGTGTAGATGATGAGCCCAGGTTACCCGCACTAAGATTGCTCCGCCATTCGGTGGCATAAGTTAGATGTATCATGCATTGGGGATGCCTACTATTGGTAGATTGAAGGTTGGACGGCGCAGAAGTGCCTGGTATCGACGGTCTCGGAGGATCTACAAGCCGTGGCAGTAATTTAGGCATGGTTGGCACCGGCGTAGAAGTTCAGAACAAGGGGCCATCTTCCGAAGATACCCATGGCCATTGGCGTGGAAAAGCCTTTCTCTCTGACATCTAGCCTGGAATCGAACTTCAACGTAAACATGAGCAGCTCCCAGGAAACTATCGAGGATGATTCACTCTACCAAGTAACATACCCACGACTTTGATGTCCAGGAGTCTGACGTTTTATTAGGATATAATAGGTGTGTGTAATCGAAAAGACGAAAAGAGTCTTGAAGGCGCGGCACAAAATGAAGAACCAGGCACCGACCAGGAAGCTAAGCCGCAGACGGCTTCATTAACACGAGCGTTCCCCGAAAATAACGATGCTCTCTTTAACAACGAAACTCTCATAGGTGCGTTCAACTACGATGGCACAGCCAGCTTAACTCATAAGCCTAGGCGCCATTGAGAGACTGGCCGGTGCTGTACTGGTCCTGTCTGGTAAACATGATCTGATCTTGGAAAAGGTCGAGAAGTTGGAATCAATGATTGACATGCTGTCCCATCAAGTTGTATCTAAGTTGGCGGATAGGGAACCGAGCGAGAGTGATGCTGAGGTTACTAAAGAGGTTCGCTGTCGCAAATGCAGGAGCGAGACTCCCGACAGTATTGCTGGAGCAAACAAAAGGGCAAGGCACGTATAGAATGGACGTCTCGACCAGTATATTCATGGTGGTCTCTCGAGAATTATACAATGCATACCGATATTGCCGAGTCTTCGCAGATAGGATTTCCAAGTGTCATCACGGCGAGGTCATTGTGATCGATTGAATGTAGAAATATAGTGCAGATGTCATGCTACGCCTAGAGCCCTCACAGCGTTACGCTTCTCTTGATCGAACTCCGGGCTGCTGCTATTGGCGCATGTCATTTTCTTGATAAGTAATCTCTTCCTCTTTCGATTCGGAGACAATTCTCCAAGTGGCAGCCTAGGAGCGGGAAAACGTGCCCGCTCGAAGTCTATGATAACAGCCTGTCGTCCAGCCGCGTTCCATAGAATATTTCGCGGTATGAGGTCACGATGAAGTACTTCAAGATCATGGATGGAGGAGACCGCCCGCTCGACTTGTTTATGGATCTCGGCTGAGTGATTTGAGAGGATCTCCCTCGAGACCTTTACGCCACCGAAGCTCCTGAACATCATGTGCGTCAGCTCTGCGATGCCGTAGTATAGTAGTACGGGTGCGTGCGTGAGATCAATGTTCCCGAGGTGCACCGGCACAAACTCCCCTTGAATTGAATTCAGGCAATCCTAGACCGCAGCCTCATGTCTGAGACAGGAAACGAAATCAGCCGGTGTGCCCTTGGCTGCAACAGTATAACCATGTGAAGTGAGGCAGACACGGAACAAGACACCGCGAGACCCGTGGATACGCAGGCAATCCACGTCATGGTCCAGATCCATCGAAAGCTGCTTGTGCATAAGACGAAGAAAAGCTGATCGGTCGATCCGATGACTGTGCCTTCCATGTGCCTTGACATTGGGACATTTGTGATCCAGAGGCCCACGCCTGAGAAGGCCTTGCAGACACTTGTGGGTGCAGTACTGCCTGTTCTTGCCTTGGTCTGACTCATTAGTACGTCGCGTTCTTGAAGTGATCCTGAAGGATTGGGTTTGATTCGCTCGTCGTGACGCAAGCCGTCTTGTATTTCGCTCCTGAGGCTGTGGTGTCACATCCCTGATAAATGATCTCCCATTCTGACTCGTCATGTTTTCACGGTATGCATACAAGCCACTCGACAACCCGGGACCCTCAAAGGAAACAAGGTCGGGAGGCAGCCGCGAACCCGAGGACTTGCTTTGATCTCGTATACCATGGTCGGTAATTAGCCCGCCAGAGCAATGCATGAATGAAGCTGCCCGTGCCGCTTTGTCGCACACCAGCCGCCCGTATACTGCGTCACCCTGTCAGGGGTGGTGGAGGAAGACCATTGGCCAATAATGCACCTATCTATCATTGTGCCCTCTTGTAATTCAACCCCATGTGTTATGAGGATGAATCATTGATGGTACTGGCTCCCCTCAATGCTTGTGGCTACTGAGTATGTGTGTCCGAGAGAGAAGGCAAGCGGCGAGTCCCATTACGGCAGACACGTTCTGGTGAATGATCGCATTGGGAAAGAAACAGTTAGATGCACTTAAAGTGCTGGTCCGGCAAGGAGTGCCCTGGGCCGGGGTGAGGCCGCTCTTGGCACCACACTGTTGCTAAGAGCGGCTTTACCCTGTTTGTGACTAGCCCACTACTGTAAATGCATAGACTAGAGAGCATACCCATGTCACGGCTACGTACGTCTGAGAATCACAGTGGACTCGCCCAATGCCCATTGTAGTCGAATTTACCCCTAGTCGAGTGTCTGTGCATCTTGTTCACGCCCACTTTGAAATCCTGTTCGTAGTTTAGAAGGTTCCGCATCAATAAGTGTGAGCTGGGTCGAGGAAAATGTTCGTGCTAGGGTTATGGTACGGGTGCATACCCACATCACGCGAAGTCTTGCATGTAAAGGTAATACCGGCGCGTACATCAAACTCGCCGACCTCTGCTCCCAGTCGTTTAGCATCATCCTCTACAGCCATGGCTTCTACAATGCTTGCTTGTGAATCACGATAAGGGACAGGGGTACTCATGGAGCTATGTGCGGAGTCGGCACACCACCCGGGTCTGAGGTGCCTGTGACCGGTGAGGGTGATGCCCGCACTACTTCGTGTCTCTTTCATGATAACTCCGTAAAAAGTGACACAATAAATCGTGAGTGTGACCTTTATAAGCAGCTGCATTGTGGCCTGCAAAGTTGCTAGGGTTGTCATGGCCAGCCACCAGTGAAGATACATCCCGATCAATTAGAACTCTTCTCGGACCCTGACCCACCAGTCGCTTGCACACTGTACAACAACAAATGGATGTGGATCCATACACGGAAGACCTGTGCCGCTTCCGAGCCCGAACACATACGGCTGAGCAGAACGAGCATGTATGCAGAGAACGATCGATCAAGAGGGCGTCTGTCTGACCGGTCGCAGCAAGCCACACATGAATCCTTGATACACAACCCCTTCTGAGCACTCACCCCTTGTCACAAGTCGATTTGATCCTGCTTATTCGACTGGGTTCTTATTGCCACTTTTCTACGGTCCCTGTCGCTCCCTTTGTATAAATGTCTCTAATGTAGCGACGGGAGTTTCGAGAGCTTCCGCTTAGACCATATGTGCCTCTGCCTTACACTTTCACTAGAACGGGAATATCATGGCTATCAAGAAATTACCAACTACACAGTGCGCTGCCGCTGGACAATCACACGATCCTCAGGCACGAGGGATTCCTCCTAGAAATGTATCCCCAGTGCTTGAGGAGTATGAAGACCCTGTCATGACGCCTCTGAGCGATAGCCTTGACGATAGCATGCTCGATCTAGAGCTAGCTCCGCCTCGAAGGATAATTTCGTTACAGACCGGAAAGCACCTGTCTGTTGGCCCTGCATGATTCAGACAGATGAAGTAGGAGCAGTCCACTCTTCTAGAGCCATAGCAGTGAGACATTGTCGGCATCCCAAATGTTGGACCTGGTTCTTCATCCACAGATACGGCTGGATACTGGCGGTCTCCCTGGACGCATGAAACTAACTTGCCGTCTTCCGTTCCAGGCGAGAACGAGGATCTACTGCTACAGGAGCTTGCTGGCAGACCCATATCCCTAGAAGGATGCGCATCATTAACAGAGTCAAAGCATCTCAGCGATGCTGAGAGGCTGCCCTGCGACAAGGTTTTACGCTACGAACTGTAAGACGCTTCTCTGCGCCACGATTTGCTTTGTTTGTAGTAACCACGCCTTGAGGGAGGTAGAGAGTTCTTTCTTCATCGAGATGATTCGAGCTGCGAATCCACACGCAGCAGAACAGCTTGTTGGACGAGTTACACTACGTCGCGATATTATTAGTACACATCAAGCCAATATTAGTGTACTTACTAAGGCTACGGCTAGAGCATTATCAAGGATACATGTCTCTTTTGATGGCTGGACGACACGTCAACAGAGATTCGCACTTATGGGTTACTGTGTCCATTTTATAGGCGCAGAAGGTGAGTAAAAAGTCCAGTATGGAGTTGAGTCTATCCATGAAGGGTAGATGCCAAGGAATAAGATGCTGACAAATATTACTATATTAGGCGAATTTCACGACTTCCTCCTCGATATACCTGAGATAATAGGTGCCCATACAGGCTCAAATTACGCCGAACTCACTCTCTCTACGCTTAATTAATATAACCTCAATTTAAAGAACCTCGGCTACTTCGTCCTCGATTTTGCGTCAAACAACGATACCGCTATAGAGTATATCTGTGAGGAACTCCAGATAGGAGCCCGCGATGTGGACGATTGACACCCAAATCTTCGTATTCGGTGCTTCTATCACATCATCAACCCCGTCGCAAAGAGTATCCTATTTAGGAAGGATAAGCTCGCCTATAAAGACGCACTAGATTCTAAAGATGAGGATATATTGATTGATGAATGGCGTAGATTTGGGCCTCTTGGTACCTACGCCAGGTACGTCACCCGTACTTATTCTATTACTTACGTTTACTCTTATAGACCCTCATTTTAAGCCACTAGATGTTATCACACCTGTGAAGACACGATGGAATAGCCACATATCCGCGATCGAACGAGCAATCAAGCTTAGAGAAGCCCTCCACAAGTTTTCTCAATACAACGTGAGAGAGCTAAGGAGATATACTAGCACCATATAAGAGTATACTACGCCATTTTTGATCTTAGGTCCTAGATGGAAGTAGTTTATCCATGGCTTCCCATAGACCGTATTAGGGCGATTAGCCTGCTTCCGAATATAGTGCTTATTCCATATTCGTACGAATAGATCGATCTCTCTTCGAAGAACCGGTATATAGATAGTAGAGAGTGTAACCATATCAGGGATAAACTTTGGAGTCAGGAGCCGCTCCCTCTATAGTCTTAAAAAGTATCTCTATATAAAGTTAGTCTAATCGTACGATACAATTCCACGAATCCAACGGTATAGCCCCATTTCTCTTCGAAGGTTATCGTACGACCTTCTCTTTCTAGAACCATCACAAGCTCTGCATCAGATAGATCCCCCTCAAATATCAATTATTCAATTCGGCGGCCAAGAGTCTCTCGTACAATTGAACCACCATCCATTTGAGTTCGAACTCCCCATTGCTTAAGCCTCTTTTCTAAGGTTCTTATAGCTATGCGGATAGAGAACTCAGTCTATAACCAGCTACATATTTCTTTGACTGGGACACGTGCTACCCTTTTAGCTTTAATCTCGGCTTAAAGGTGATCGATGTTCGTACGAGGTTGGCCAGACATTTTATGGATAAAGAAGTATAGGGAAGTTTAGAGGAGTACTCTAATCTAAACCTCAACTCAACTATATAGATCCTCATTCTGTGTGCACGCGTCGCGCAGTTTGATTTGGGCGGAGTCGCTACTAACAGACTGCCCTAAGACATGGCACTTGGAAACAGGGGTATAATGCAGCCATAACTGGCCTCACTTCATTTCTTTCTTCTTCGATGACACAGCAGCAGCCGGGCTTTCGTCCTCGTCCTCTTCGTCCTTATCAACGTTTATCAAAGGGGCCTGCGCCGCCTCTGGCACTTTCGCAGCGTCCTTGCTCCCGTTGGCAGTATCAGCGCCCACATCTGCAGCCTCGCCCTCATGGCCATGGTGGCGTCCATGGCACCACCGCTCTGGTGCAGCTCAGGGTTGCTCCAGAGGTATATCTAATTAATTATTATATCTACTTTTTAAAGCTCTTAAATACTTAGAATAGCCGTAAAAGTAGAAAGAGCTCTAGGTATATATTATCTATATAGTACCGTTGAAGTGCATAGGAGGTTACAACTCCGAAGTGCGTGGGACGGGTAAACCTTGCACACACAAACCTCCGGTTCCATTCTTGGCGGCCCTAGCGGTGACTTACATAGTACGTATCATACGGAGCATTCCTCGGTATTCACAGACGTAACGGATTAAGAGTCGATGAAGCCATCGCCTGTAGCGTGCGAGACGGCGTCATTTTGTGAGGCGGACACGTCGGGGACGGGCTGTGCACAGGTTGTTCTTTCGTCGGGTCGTTTGACAGGAGCCCGCGGAAACTGTGCTAGAAACAAGGTAAGAGGCAATCACTTCTGATATATTGGGGTCGGACGCTAATCTCTCCGAATTCTGCCTTGGGAGCAACTAGGCTGACACGGCCCCAGGCTTCGCCTTTTTGTTTCTAGCATGTCACGTCCTGCACCCAGCCTCCTTGACTAGCCTCACTTTTCCCGACGTTGCCCTGACGAACATAACAGGCAAGCGCAAGGCAACCAGCAGGCCAACGACCACCGCACCAGGTACCTAGGTACCACCATCCAGGCTTAATCCCGAGAATGCCGATTCCAGGAAGCAGGCTGTGGCTGTGGGTACGCGACTTGCGCCTACCTTTATTTAGAGACTTGGGGGTAACTGATTGCCAAGCGAGTGAGTCATGACGGCCTCGAGAATAGGGACGCGTCGGCCTCACTCGGGGAAGGAAGAGGCTGGTACGGCGCACGTGGCGGGTCAGGGTCTCAGTAGGAAACCAGATCAACCGCATTAGGGTGCTGTCTGCCTGCCGGCACGGGGATCAAACCCACCATTGTCTGTTGTTTATGTTGCTGCAAGGCGCAGCCAGTATTGAAAAGGCGGGCCCACGGTGCTAGGCATAGCGTGAAAGCCTGACGCCCCATGTCTACAAACTCGGACCAATCTCTCTGAAAATATTTAAGAATCCCTTCTTTCCCCCCGGTGGACGCCGACCACGCTGCCCTCTCTTCTCACGAACCCATCGCTCTGTCATTTCATCGAGCCCATCCCGCACCACTCTCCTCGGGCTTTCTTCCTGGCTCTTACCATTCTTTCAAAATGGGCCAACTACTCTCCTGCTTCAGAGGGCATGGGACAGCGGACAAGAACAAACAAGAGAATGATGACTCCCAACGCGACCGAATCGAGAAGATTGGGGTGAAACAACAACCGGTGCATACTTATGATGAATTCGATCCGAAAGCCAAGACGACAAATGGCCATGAGCCAGGTGTGCAAAGAGCTACCACTTGGGATATTTCCACGTACGACCCGCCGCCGTACACCCCGACGCCAAACACTACTTCGAATCAGCCAAACACCGAGTGGGATGCGCTTCCACTTCCAGTACAAAGGATGCTCTCGCTCTGGCGCCAAGCCGATAGATTGACGTTTCATGGTCACAGCGGCGCATGGGAAGCCTACATCCATCGACATCAGCATATATGGATCGACTCTGCACACATGCTTGACCCACTCACCCAGAAGGCCATTCTTCTTTACGCTGCGATGCCACTGCAGATCGGGAAGGCGAGGAAATGCAACATGACATTTTTCTTCACAACCTACCCCAACGTCGACAGCCCCGAACTTGACGCCAAATCTCGCAGCACTCTCCTCGCTCTTCTAGAAGTCTTCAACTGCAGCTCCTTCCGGGCCGCCAAAGACGCCATAAAAGTGCAGAAGCTCCACCTGGAAAACGAAAAGATGCAGGAATTTGTTGACGACGAGGGCAAGAAAAATTTTGAGGAGGGCGACGATGCAGAACAGAAACTGGTCAAGCTCTTGAGATACACCCGTCAACAAATGAGCAAGTACTGGTACGGATGGGAGCTAGAAGAACTCGATTTCGACATATTCAAACAGCTGTACAAGATTGCAATTGCGGAGTCCGAGAAACAACCGAAGCTGCGCAACAATAATGTACACACTTATCGAAGAGAGATCGGCAACTACAGGAGACTGATGAATAAGCCGGAGGATTCCTACGATATTACGTGCACCTTCCTGTTGGCTACTCCATTGACCCCCAAAGAGGTTGAGGTTATCCAGAAATTACAAGATGCGGGTGCAGAGCTCGTAAAGCAAAGACAAGCACAAAAGGAAAAAGATGCAAAAGCAGCAAAAGAATCCAGACTTTTGCGACCATTTGTCAAGAGAGCAACCAACGATAATCTTGACTCATCGAAAGCTGAGGAGCCGGAGGAGTCCATTGCTCAAGAGCTGGAAAAGCAGGGCCACCCGTTCTGCATTGAAGCCATCGTCTTTGACGATTTCCTTGGGGAACAAGCAAAGAACTGCTACAGACAAGTCGACAATTCCCTCAGTGGCACGCGATGGGACATCAATGACGCCACCTTTGGTTCGCAGACTTCCTTTGTCCGTTTCCTCTTTCACGAGAGTTGGATCTTCAAGACCACGACTTCCCATGACCCTCGAGTCGACGACTGGCCCGAACTACGGCGCACACAGAAATACAACGACCTCCCAATGGTGGATGATGATAACACGCCAATCCAGGTGCCCAGCATCAAGCTCGTCCGCAAATATGTGTTTGACATTGTCGATGACGCCCCCAAAGACGGCCGCAGCAACGCACAAATCCTCGCGGATCTCCGCCGTAAGGCAGGTATTCAACCCGTTGAGGTGGTTAAGGAACAGCCAATACCTCAACCGACGAGCGTCAGTGCTGGGACGGACGAGGAAGATCGCCGTTGAAGGGGACACCAAGCGCTCGACGTATGTCAATGGCTCGGTAGCCGCCAAATCTAACGGTGATGATGACCTGTTGAGTGGGTTTTGAGGCAGCTGCACCATATGGAGGTGGCGAAGTGGCGATGGACGGCCGATGAGTTCGTGGGCGGAGGGAGAAGAAGCGGTAATCAACTTTACATGTCTGTTTCCTTTGTCCCGTTTTTCCTTTTCAGATGGTGGTTGTACAGGCACCGTTGTCCGTTACAGATTGGCGTCGGGATTTGCAGGTGTCTGGGGCGTGGGTGCGCCATGTACAAGTCCTTTCCGGTGGCTTCGTCCAGTATGTCATGCTCTGCGTGGGTGTGTGTTGCGATTTAAGCCTTCCTCATGTTTACGCGACCGGTGTGCCGGGCAATCAGGCCCTGTCCACGCGACTGTTTCCTGCTTCTGAAAAATTTTTCATTGCCTCCGTCTTATGAATTCGGCGTGTGTTCGCGAATGTCTCTCTGACGGTCCCAGTTGCCTGTGACTTATTCTGTGCATCGTGATGACGATTGCTTGCCTTGGCAGGACGTTGCCTCCGGGACGCAGCCGGTTGGTCCTCAAGGCGCGTAGGTCGCGCCAAGGGCGTCTCACGAAGAGCCCGCGTGCTTCCGGTCCCATCCCTCCGGGCCAAGGGCATAAGCCACACTTGATACCCACATTGGCTAGGCCCGAGCCGCCGCACAGCACACGATTTAGAGGGAGAGCGCCATGATTCGCCCGGATTGGTCTGGCTTGGGTCCGGTTGCCTGGAGCACCCGTAGGAACCCTGCAGTGGTCCGGGTAGTGCCTAATAGGGAATTTCGCTACTTCAACGGGTAGTGGACCATGGTCCTGTTCAAACAACATGGCGACGTTCACAGGGGGAAGATGGGAAAGAAAGGTTCACGGCAAAAGTCACAAACTATTGCGTCTGATCATTCCATCTCTACATGGAGCGGTGACTGCGTTTGAAATGTATCTAAGCGATGCTACCCTCTTCGTCTCTGTCTCTTTAATTCCCATATGATCTGAACCAGCTGCTCGGTAAAAGTCTTCAAAGCATCAAAAGCAACCCTACATTCTCGGGGTGTCCGTGTAATGAGCTCCATATACAGGTGGTTGTAGTCTTCTTCGACCCGTTCCTGCGAACGTTTTTTCTTCGTCGTCTTGTCAATAAGTGTGAGCTGGGTCGAGGAAAATGTTCGTGTTAGGGTTATGGTACGGGTGCATACCCACATCACGCGAAGTCTTGCATGTAAAGGTAATAACGGCGAAAGCCGCTCTTGGCAACATATTGTTGCCAAGAGCGGTACATTGAATCAGAATTAAGGGAACCGGAAGGAGTGTCTTCGTCAGAGTACTGTTGCCACTCTTTGCCAGACCAGCCTTGTTTCTTTTGAGTGTCCCGGCGTGTTGAGTGGCTTGTATGCATACTGTGAAAGCTATGACGAGTCAGAATAGGAGATCATTTATCAGGATGTGGGCGCGTGCCGGGGCGGCAGTGCCCTCGCGCAACTGCGGAACAGCTCCTGCGTGCAGGTCGTTCGAGGCCTGCCGAATTCACATCTAGAGGGAAGGAAGTCGGATTCGTCTACGCAGTGGTTATGTTAGAGGTCCTGACAGAGTACTTCACATCAGGCTTCAATGTGATTGTACCAAAGATCACGTTGGCGCTTGAGATCCCGCTAGGAAAGCAAACGTGGCCCGCTTCAGCTTTCCCTCTGACATAAGGCTCGTGACCATCACTCATCGATATTGCAGACAAGTACGGTGGATTTCCCGTCTACGTCCGTTACCGACCTGGACCCCACAAGAACCAGATATTCGCACTCTATGGCGCTACTCTTGAATGGATCACTGAGTATTTATATGCTATACTGCTGTACGAGTGCCAGGTTGTGCTCCTCCGGGGCAGAATACCTTGCAAGTCCAGTTCCGCCATTCTGAACGATCGGTTCCCCTTCGTCCTGACGCACACTCAGCGCTACCTGATCGCCGCCCCATAACTGTTCATCATTACTGGACTCATGCATGGGGGTACATGCATCGGACCCCTTTCTCTTCGGTCCCCGCCGGCTTATCGCCTGCTTAAGGGAAGCCTACATGCTCATCAAAGTCGTTTAGTTCTCGCCGGTGCTGTTGCTGGTACTGGTGTTGATACTGTTGCTGCTGATGCTGCTGATGATGAGTGATCGCAATACATAATCCTCATTCTGACATGCCAACCTGTCTCGAAGATCCTTTAGCTGTGTACAAAGCCACTTACCAGGTTTAATGAGACTACCCCTGTCATTAAGAATTGGTTATAAGTCCTTAACCGGTTGGTCATCGCTACTCGAGTGCCGCACGCCAGCTGACTAGTTGCTTGCTAGAAAATGATGAATACTGTGTACCCATAGACACATCGGTGATCGGTGAGTCTTGCGACCCCCGGTTGGTTGTGTCTTTTCGGAAAAAACAAATTCATGAGCTATACAGATACGAGCCGGGGGCGGTGCACGTCCAATCATATCATGTAGATGTGCTTTTCGATGAGGTCATGCTGGCTGGTACTCTTAAGCTTCATCTTTGACCGCAAAAAATGGAGGGAAAGACGTCTATGGTTTTCTCTTCCGCTTGGCTGTAGTCGACTGCTTGCGCCTCAACTGTAGGTAAGCCTCGGTGATGATCAACCTTTGGCAGTTAAGGCCGTAGCTTCTTCCTAGTCTTCGTACAGACTTGCATCGACGTTTCTCGTGCGACTCATGCATTGAGCTACATGGCTTGCGCTGTGACCGGCATATCCACAGCGCTATCGTGACTACACTTTGAGCTTGAATTTAAGCGTAGTCCGAGACATGTAGAGTCACGGTGTGATTCGAATCGGTACTGAATAGTGGTGTTGCTGTGCGCACATTGCTTGTTAGCACGTAGAACTCCTGTCCGACCGTCAGCCATGAAGTACCATCTGAGTCACATATGTAGATCTTACCACAGCGCCGTAAGACAACCTTGCGAAAGCTCTCTTGCACCGATCGTCTCCCTACGCTTATAGGGCAGTTAAACCAATCTACGCTGTTAGCTAAAAGTACCATGTACGTCCAAGTAAACTTGGTAGTACGGTTGTAAAGCATATACATCGCCTAGAACTCGGTCGACTGATTGCTTACACCGTAGAATACCGAGACTCGACTGAGCTGCTCCGGGAGCGACGCTGGCAAGAACTTAATGAGCCTCTAACGTCGATATACAGAGTGGGCCTCTTGCGCGCCCTTCTCCAGGACTCGCGCCACTCGCGCCATTTAGATCCGCCAACCATACCTGTATAGTGTATTCTGACCCAAATGCGAATCCAGCAAGAAGATCCTATGTAGTTGAACGGAAATATCGACCTCAACGTTCTCATTGATCCTTCCTTCGTTGAGGTAGTACAAGATCCGGATGGCTTGGAATACTAAGTTCCGACAAGACAATGTTCGGTAGGGGCAGTGTGAAAGGGCGCAGGGCCACCGTGCCTTTCCAGCTGCTGTTTTGGTTCCTGAGGCGATGAGAGCGACAGGGCGCGCAGTAAGTCATCTGCATATCAATGTAAAAGGCTCAGTAACACGGCTTGCCGAGCCACATAAGTATCTCCTCATTCTCCATCAAGCGGCTTGTTAATGCACAAGGGTTGAATTTGTATGATCTTCTTGGCTCACTGATCATCAGAAGAAGAAGTCATCTTTTAGTAGTTCTCACGGCAGCATTGAACTAAAGATGAGAGCACTTGCGTGTACGACAGCCCTGGCAATGTCCCTCCTTACGTTGGCAGCTATTTAGAATAATCTATTAATAATAAGGAGTCGTGGGAAGAATGGAAGGAAGCGATACGACAACGCGACAAAGTCCTCCGTAACGAAAGGCGTAAACAGTGGCGTATACACGACACGCAACAGGGCTATGGCGCATGGCGAAATGGGCCAAGGGCGCAGACACTCCGACACCCCCGCCACTCATGCCTCCCCTAATACATCAGGGGAGAACATACTCCACGAGCCTTGAGAAAACTGAGGCCCTACGGGAGGCCATGTTCCCTCTCCCGGAACCAGCAGACCTATCAGACGTTCACGGCGCCGAATACCCACACGCGGTAGACATCCCCGAAGAAGTTACGGAGGAGGACATACTTAACATTATTAAGACACTCCCAAATGATAAAGCACCCGGACCAGATGGAATTCCAAATCGATGCCTAAAAAGCACTATAAAAGCGACCCTACCGCTTATCACTCGTATATTCCAAGAATGCGTCACGCAGGGGTACCACCCCCAGAGCTTCCGAGTCGCCCATACCATCATGCTCCCGAAACCAGGAAAGAGCCCTAACTCCCTAAAGGGATGGAGACCAATCGCCCTTCTCTCCTGCCTAGGCAAGATACTAGAGGCCACGATAGCGAAGAAGATGAGCACCGCGGCACAGGAACACAATCTCCTCCCTCCGAACCAGAAGGCAAAGGTAGGTAGCTCCCCAATAACAGCTATCCAACACATTATCGAAGTCGTCCAGGCCGCATGGAAACAGGGACGGGTAGTATCGCTCCTCTCCCTCGATATGGCCGGAGCGTTTGACAAGGTAAACCACACAAGACTTATTCATAACCTCCGGATGAGACGAATACCAGAATGGATTACACGCTTCATACAGTCATTCCTCACAGGAAGAACAACTCAGATACATATCCCTGGGTACCAGAGCGAATACAAAGAGACGGCATGCGGCATCCCACAAGGGAGCACCATCTCTCCGATCCTATTCCTCTTCTTTACGGCAGACCTTCTTCAAGGAATGAAGCACACAGAGGCAGTCGGATACGCCGATGACACATACCTCCTAGCCATCGATAATAATACCAACCGAACGTGTAGACGACTAGAACAGGACCACGAGAGGTGCCTCCAGTGGGCAAAACGCCACGGAGCAAAGTTCGCCCCGGAGAAATACCAGCTCATGCACTTCATCAATCGTCAAGGGAAATGGGCAACTAGGGAAGGCGAACGACGCCCCCGAATCGACGCATTCAACGAACCACCAGCACAAAGCATGCGCGCGCTCGGAGTCATACTAGATAGCAAGCTTAAATGGGGACCACAAGTGGCATACGCCGTCTCCAGGGCCCTCCGGGCAGAAGCCGCCATACGACGGATTACAGCCTCCACGTGGGGAACCGCCCGGGATAAGGCACGCCAGCTATATATATCTATGGCACGACCCGCCTTCACGTACGGACACGAGTGCTGGTACACGGCCCTTACACAGACCAGGCGAATGAAGCTCGAATCCATACAGAACCGCATACTCCGTCTCATATCAGGCGCATACAAAGCTACCAACACGGTGCTGCTGCGACGCGAGACAGACGTCACAAGCATACATGACTTCTGCCAGACACAGAGGGTGGCATACTTCACCAAACAACAAGCACAGGAACGCATAGGAAACGCAGAACACACTTTCGCCGCGCGACGCGCACGAATCAGCACACATTGCCGCGCACTCCTACACACAGGCCGGAATCGAATACGGTACAGGTGCTCAATAGAAGCCGACTCCAGCCAAGTAGCACAAGAAGTCCGAGACAACCCGGTGTGAGGCGTGCGGCCGGAGAGGTACAATACGCCACTATCTAGCTATATGCCCCAACCTCCATACACAACGGCAATGGCTCATCCACGTCACGAAGACTTCAGATATCGCACGATGGCTTAATGAGTACCCCAAGGACGTCTCCCGATGGATGCTTACACATCTACCACTCCTCCAGTACCAGTGGACCCGGAAATATATGCCGGAAGAGACCCGGCATACGCCGGCAGCAACCCGACATATACCGGAAGAACCCCGGGAGAACCCCGATTATTAGTCGAGGGCAGCCCTTGACTAATAACCTCCGCACCTGCACGTGCTGCCTGAGGGCAAAACAACGGTAACACAGGCTGTAGGCTAATAGGCGTACCCTATGGCTGTATACTCAAGACGAAACAGAGGTTCAACGAGATGTAGTTATAGACATAAGGAAGTTTTTCCCTATGGGGTTTCTTCTTACATAGTGGCTTAGACTAGAGGAGGCATAGGCCTGTAGAGTACTACTCTACCTAGTTATACAATATTATTATTATTATTATTATAGATAGACTGGAAGTGCTAAAATGGAGAAGCAGTGACCATGGCAAGAAAGGAATACACGCGGTGTTAGGGCGTTATTAGCGGACATGATGATGGGAATTTGAGCATTCTTTCCATGCCACTCGACTTTCTATTCGACTGCCAAATGGGAATAGAATACGACAGCTGGCGAGTAAATCATTTGTAAAGCGTGATGCTTTCATGGTGAGTCCAAGCGGTGAATCCCTAATCGAATAGGATAGTCAAGAAATCCTTTCCTGACAAGCTTAAAGGTACTAACTACTTATGTTAGCTACTAATAGTTTCGGAGTTGTAACCTCCGAAGTGCTCCCGACTTGAACTGTACATATACACTTCAACGGTACTATGTATCTATAAAATGAAGATAGCGACGTCTATATAGCTAATACCATATATTTATTACTCGTCAACTTCTTCGCAGTCATCTGGGAATTGAGTACTCGTGTTCTAGTCACATTCCTCAGCAGTAGGCACTTCTGTGGCCTGTTTTTGAGCCTCCCTAGCCGCCCTCTGTGCATCTTCTTTGTAATAGTAACCCTAGAGTCTCTCACGTTGAAGGAACCATATTTGCCAATACCCTTCTTTGTAGGAGGGTTACGTCTAGCACGATTGACGGCTGCTTGTTAATTATCGCGTAATTCATTGCGACAGAGTTCATACTTAATAGAGAGTGCGTGTGTTGATTTGTATAGTTTACTCCAGAGTTTCTGACTGGTTTTAGTAATCTTTACTACTAGAGATACCAAATTGCGCCAAATTGCCAAATCGTTGACGCTCGCAACCTTTCACAACTTGCCAGCCGTTTCAGCCTTGTTGCATGTCAGGCATGTAATGCGGCCTCAGGTTGCTACTGAGTCGAAGGCGCGCTGACTAACCATCCGTATATCCATAGTTACATCCGTCTGTAACTTTTTCAGCACGACTCTTGGCACGCGTCGCGCGTGTAACACACCACTTTTTCTCTTATTCTTAAAACTTACCTTTTCCCTAATATCTAGAACTAGAACTCTAGGAAGTTTTCTAATTATATATAAATATACCTCTATATAGTCTCTTACTTTCTATATAAGAAAATTAATAAAAAAAGAATAGACTAATTAGTTATTCTAAGAAAAGCTCTATAAAGTAGAGAACTATTAATGTAAGAATAGGGTAATTGGATAGTAGTGTAGTCAGATGGAACAATGGGGTGTATTCTGTCACAGAACGAATTACTACCGAACCCCTTCGGTAGGAATCCGAGAGTATATACACAAAGGTGCGCCGATCTGTTTTAGCACGTGACCGCTCACCGCCTATCACGCCACCTCCTGACCTAGTCAGCTGAGATACGTGCGAATCTGGTCATGCCTGAGGCTGAGTCCTGACAATTAAAGTACCGAGGTACGTAGTAGAGAAAATAAGAAGTTAGAGATTTTCTCTATTATCTATCTCTTTAAGACTCTTTAGTCTTTAAAAGAACTTAAAAAGTATTCTTTAGATATAACTAAAAGTATATATAATCTTTTAATATCTTCTAGAGGCTTAATATTAGGGTTATTAAAGGAAATAGCGGTTTTTAAGAATAAGAGAAAAAGTGGTGTGTTGCGCGCGCGACGCGTGCCAAGAGTCGCGCTGAAAAAGCTACAGACGGATGGGAAAGCTTGGCGCCCGATGTTCGCCCATGTCACCAACACACACGATTTAGTATAATTACATTTTTATCTATTACCGTCGTATAATACCTATATAGCTATAAAAACTACTATATATTAGTTCTATATAATCCTAATTATAGATCTATACTCTTTTTATTACTTTATATTATCCATAATACCTCTAAAACTAAAGAAAAAGAGTAAAAAGAGTAAGTAATATAGAGATACTCTTAGGTATAGCTAGCTATATACCCCTATATTTAAAAGCGCTCTAGAAGTATATAGAGAGGATATTAAGGATCTATAGTATTATATATTAGTTATACTATCTCTTAAATACTATATAAGCGTAGTATAGGAGTAGTATATAAGAATATTAATTATACTTAATCGTGTGTGTTGGTGACATGGGCGAACATCGGGCGCCAAGCTATGGATATACGGATGGACGGAATGGGTCGTCCCATCCATTTAGCCCCGAATTTCCTCTAGTTAAAGTCAAGACACACGACAACAGCGAGAACCCAAATTTTTGGAATTCAGTCGATCAAACGCACGCATATACCTTCTCATTAGGCTACTTGACTTGCTGTGTGTCAGGCGCATCGCCCAGTGCGCCTCAGACACCATGGCGACCGCGTGGCCCCAGGAAATGGTTGGGGTCTTCCCCCACTGCTGGGACGATTAGACGAGTGATGGTCACTGCCGGCATGCGTGCCAACCGGGGGCAGCTGAGGACCTGGCTCCGTGGTATGAGGATAGTGATGCGGGGCCGGATACGAAGTCTGCGGGGCTCTTGTCGTGAAGCTGTGGGGATATGACTGACTGCTGGGATGATGGTGCTGCGGTGCAGGTGGTACCTGAGAGTTGCTGATGGGAGGAGGAACACGATCTAGATGAGTGGGTGGTGGGCCGACGTGTGGTAAATAGGCGTGGTGGATTGCGTAAGTTCCATGGGGTGTCGCAGATGGCGTTGGCGGCCAACCGGGCTGCTGCGGAATGTATGTCGGGCCCATGGGAGCACGTTGATACGGCGACCCAGCATTGGGCTGAGGTGATCCTGCGGAGAAGCCAGGTGATGCCATAGGAGCGCGTGTCACTGTTGGCATATTGACTTGTGGGTCATTCACAGTAGACTCCGGATACATGTTTTTCGGCGGGCGTATGTGCCTGAGGTTTGGATCCGTCGATGGTTGTAAGAGATTTGAAGCAGATGGTGAAGATCGGGCATAGTAGCTGATGAGGCGCAGGTGTTGGCCACTCGATGTGGTTATGCTGAACGATTGTTTCATGAGTCCGTCTGGCTTATGCCGGTATCCATCAGGTCCCCCCCCCTCTGAGTCGCCGCTTCTTGCATCAACCTTTGGACTTGGTTTCTTCTGGGGCTGCGGTACTGTAGCGTATCCATTTCCTCCTCTCTTGCCCTCCATTTCACGATAAGTGAAGAAGCTCCTCGAAACTCTGCTAACGCTCCAGGATTTCCCGTCTGTCCACCGACGCATGCCAGCTTCTCGCTCATCCCAGACGAACACCGACCCTGACTTGATCTGTTACCTCTCTTTTTCGGACAATCTCCGCTGGACACGAGGCAGAAGTCCGATTCGACATGCTTCGAAGAGAATGATGGCGTCTGCGAGAGTCTTGACGTGGCCGTTGTAAGTCTCCATTTGAAAAGTGGTACGCGTGCGGCGCGTCGACCGGGAGGACGGTTACAGAGGCTCTGCGCAAGTTGTAGTGTTAACAGGCGTGGGAGTTCTTGAGTAGGGTGTGAGAATGCTGGAAGCTGAGATGAATGGAGCACAGTAGGATCGATATGACAGAGACTGCGTTTCGATGTTTGGGGCAACTTCGACTGCGTAGTGCGGGCGGTAAAGAAGACGGTTCGTAGCTGGGTATGTGAAGGGCGGAGAAAAGGTAATGGGAAAAGCCGTGCAATGGTTACCTACCGGCCAGGAAGCTATATGACTAAGCCGATAGAGAAGACATTGTGGTGTATTTATTGGTTATGGCGGCGCAGTACGAGTAAAGTTGTCCCACTGCTCTTTAACACAACGGAGGAGTGAAACCCAGTGTTTTCGTTAGGCGTTGGTATGTTGGCGCAAGCGGATTCATCGATAGCAGTTTTGGTTCTAGGCCGGTGAAGAGCAGGAAGTGTTCCCTTGAGGGCTTTCTGGAAGGCCGCCAGCAGCGCAGCTCAATCAAACACCCCGCGCTCCAGCCTTTTGTTGCCGACTTCAATCGTCGCCAGGAGGTTGAACAGGAGCGCCAAGTCACCCAGGAGATGCAGGAGGTGCGGCAGGTTCAAGCACCGGGGCATGCCACGGCATTAATTTCGTCACGGTATGGTATCCACTCTTGCGTCCCCCAAACGGGGAAAGCAGTCTCTGCGGGTAGGCTGGGGGTGTAGTTCTCTGCTAGAGAATTCCACGGGGGTCGTGAAATGCTTTCCAGCTGGTGAACGGAGTCGACCCCCTCGAGATTGGCACCAGGCTTGGCCGCAAAGCCCCCCAGCATCGTAAAACTACCCTTATCATACTCATTCTCCCTTCGTTATGAAGCTCCTCACAGCACATGAAAATTGTCCTACATTATTACCCTCATGTCTCCATCTAATCATGAGAAGCAACCAAAACCACAAATCGACAGTACGGTCTCAGGGCGTCAGGCCGTCTGATGGCAAAGGGGACTTGGACCTACAAGCAAACTGATGTCGGTCAGCAAGCAGGTACATGGTGATTTCTGTCCACTCATCTACGGTGACGACGTTGTATTGTTTCTCATGCTTAACTTTCAATTATGGTCATGGTACGTACGCCTTTGGAGAAAGAACCGTAAAGTGCTGCCCTCGCTATTCATGATCAAAAGTACCAAACAGATAAGCAATATTCCGCACATATATCCCCAAGATTGTGGCTTCACAACTCTGCGACTGTACGCCGTATTCGAAATTTCCTCGGCGACAGGCTCAAGGTGCTTTGGGGAGAGTCACTGCCATTTCCAACCACGTTTTCCCAAACTGGGCACCAAAATCTAATTGAAGCATGTTTAGAGACTTCAAGACTTATTCCAGCCAAGATCAAATTGAAAGTCCTCGACTATATATCACGGCAAATAACACCCTGGACCCCGGCTTTTCTCCGCTGCGAACTTGCTTTACAACGCAGTCGTGTACAACGAGGCCTAGGGAAGATTGCCCTTTCAGAAAAGGCTATAGAGCAAGTTTCCGTCCCAGAAGACACGATTATGAGGACAACGCTGTACGGCATGCTCAAGCGCTGAAAATGCTATATCGGTGGGCGGAAGACCATAGAGAGCAACGCTAGTCTGTCTCTGTTCGTACATAATCTCCACAGGGTTCTCTATGGCGATTCCCCATATTTGAGAACCATCAATTCAATGAAGTTGGTAAGCAAGTAATGCTAATACGCTCCGGAGTGGAGTGTCACTCCGCCACTCCGGATCGATTGGAGCGACGCTCTGGAGTATATCAGGCCCGGTATTGTGTGGCAAGTATCGTATCCCGGGCCGACCTTCTGAAGGCGTTTTCGGAGTAGTCTTTCCTGGCTCCTCGTCTCCTGAACTGGCTTCAATGTCATATTGATTGGACCAGGCGTGACTAGAAACAGTGTGGTTTGTTGGTTGTGCTTCGCACACTGCTTTATCTCGCCAATTCACTAGTTACATTCAAAGAGGACTGTAAGGATGATAAGCGCCGCATTGTATTTCTCTTGATCGATATTAATACCTCGTCTCTGTGTGCTCTTTAATCTCGCGGCCTCGGCGTCCTCCTTGCTCTCTTCGCCGTCGGCTGCCCCTTGAGTGGGTTAGAGCCCTGTCTGCTCCGCTTCTGGCGTGCTGTTACTTTACCCGAACAGAAGCTGCGTTGTATTGGGACGCTCTTCAGCCAGGGTAAAGCTGCTCTTGGCAACAGTGTGGTGCCAAGAGCGGCCTCACCCCGGCCCAGGGCACTCTCAGTGCATCTAACTGTTTCTTTCCCAATGCGATCATTCACCAGAACGTGTCTGCCGTAATAGGACTCGCCGCTTGCCTTCTCTCTCGGACACACATACTCAGTAACCACAAGCATTTAGGGGATACAAGAGGGCACAATGATAGATAGGTGCATTATTGGTCAATGGTCTTCCTCCACCACCCCTGACAGGGTGACGCAGTATACCAGCGGCTGGTGTGCGACAAAGCGGCACGGGCAGCTTCATTCATGCATTGCTCTGGCGGGCTAATTACCGACCATGGTATACGAGATCAAAAGCAAGTCGTCGCGTTCGCGGCTGCCTTCCGACCTTGTTTCCTTTGAGGGTCCCGGGGCATCGAGTGGCTTGTATGCATACCGTGAAAATCATGACGAGTCAGAAAAGAAGCAAAACGCTGCTTCGCTGATCGGATGCTGCAAGCGTATGGACTATCCTCACCGTCCAGGTTCCTGCAAAGCTCGTGGCTGCGGCGCAGTAACAGATCGAAGGCTTACGATTATCCGTATTGAATTAGATTCAGACGATATATCTACGACACTACTTCCAAGAAATGATGCGGCCTGAAGCTCCAGATCAGAGCTGCTAGTTTCTAACACACGACTTGATTCTTTTCACTTTTCACTCCTCAACTTTTGTTCCTGGTGCACGACCCTCTCATCTTTGCAGTTATCCACATAATGTTCTACGATCATGCGGCCGCACGGTATGTCTCATACCAGGAAAGGCTGACAAACTTTTGCTTCAATTGGGGATTACCGAGCCCACGCTGGTATCGATGCTCCGAACAGCGCGGTATGCTGCCTTTCATCTGCAAAAGAATCCATAGTGATCCACAATCTGACACACCAACTTTTAGGAAGACGCACAGCTTGGTCGAGTCTTGTAGGTATCGGTCGATTTGCATTCTCATGTCGTTTCTGGTTTGATGTCAACTATATCAAAAATGCTGACGATGACGCTGCTGAGTTGGCTTTGGGGTACCTTGAAAGTAGGTGCCAGTTCTGGCGTAGGTCATCGCAGAGGCGGTTCAGAATCTTAGTAGGATATAGCAGAACATCTTACAGTGTCTTTCTGTTTACACGCACATAGCTGCCGTACATCGTCTGCAAGACTGCCTGAGTGACTTCTGCCGTGTTAGAATGCCTAATCCCAGAGCCGTAGCCGAAGCTCAGGATTCGACTTTTTGGAATATCCTTGGACAGGAACTCCAGTATCTTCCTGTCTTGCACTTATGATATCGGATTGTTGTGCGGGATAGTTGGGTGTTGATATCCATTCCGTCAAAGAATCCACTTGTCTCTTCTCCTCAACGCTCCAAAACGCGTCTGTGTTTTGCTTGACCGCCTGGGTGTCATTTTGCACTGTATGAATGCCAGTCTTGAGAGCCTGAGATAGCTTGCTAAACTGGTTAGTATTTTATGTTCGGTCTTCGACGGAAGTACAAAAACGTACAGGTGGTCCAGCTCCAGTACGATCTGCACAAGAGTCTTCAAGCGCTCTATCCTCAGAAGAATGCTTTCGATTTCCTCCTTCTTTAACTTCCACATAATGGTCTGCCCAAGTTTGGTGATCCCACTCTCATTTGTCATGCTGCCTTGAAGCTCTTCAAGCGCTTGTTTGTATCGATCGAGGGGGCCATTACTCGCGCTGAGGGCGTTGATAGACCGATACCAAGGCTCATCATAGCCTCCGCCTTGTAGTCGAAACCTCAGGTGGATGAGCAAGGTGGACAAGTTCGACAGCTCAAGAGTACACCGTTCGCGGTCCGTCGAAGCGCCCTTCGGGTTGGTAAGCAATGAGAGCACCTTTGTTGTTAGCTGTGGGATAGTGATAACGCCGGCTGTAACGCTGAGAGAATCCATCGTGAAGATTGTGAACGTCGGAGAATGAGCATTTAGACGCCATGGCATATCCCTCAGAGAAAGCCATGTTAATTAACAGCAGCAACGCTAAGAATGTGTCACAAGGGGTGCAACGCACTCGTTGAGGTGGTACAGCTCTTGGCAGCCTTACGCTGAATCAGCCTGCTGTCGAAATCTTACGGGGTTGGTCGCATAAGCCTAATGAAGTTCTAGGAAGGGCAATCACAGGATTTATTTTGTACGTAGGTGTGAGGGTCAGTCATCTCAGTCAGACAGACGCTACCAACTTCATCGAGCTTGAATATCCACTCACTACAAGATAAAACTATACGTTTAACTATACCGGCCTGACTTTCTTACGCCGGGCCATCATTCCAGTACTTGTGCCCGAGGATCTCTGACGCCATTATTACGAAAGTCGAAAGCGCTGCAGGAATCGAGACCGTCGATGGTATGGCTCAGGCTATTGAACAGATTCTTCCAAAGAATTTGACAGTTAGTACGAAGCGGTACTGCGTTGGTTACGAAGCTGAACTTAAGTGCGATAATCTGCCCATCAAGCCATCATCGATCGTACCGACAGACTCAACAGGCATTATACAGGCGATAAGCCCAGTATTAGACGAAGTCTTCGGCCAAATGTCTAAATTGTCTTAGCTGTCGCGATTGGACAGCCAAAAAGCGACGTAAGTTAAAGCGAGATTGGCTTATGTGGTTAACGTGGGCAATTGGCTTACCTGCAGTATGTTTTATTCTTTTCTGTACAATAGTCGGTGCATTAAGCAGCGCAGCTTCTGTCGTTCGTATACTTCCGTCGACTCCCTGGATGAAGTTTAATCTTGGTCCATTGAGGGACTATGGAATAGCAGGGCTAATCTCCCTCTCCCTCTCCGGCACTTGCCAGCTTGGTGCACCAAGGCACATCGCTTCTGTACAGCCCGGTAGACGATGGCGTCACGACACGTTATGCGAGACTGCCGTACTTAGCGGCTCGAAGAATTCATTCGTCAGCGGTGTCCACATCTCCTCGAAGAGCAGCGACTACGAGCATCTTGACCGGGTTCTTAGTTGGTGTTCTTAAATCCAGGAGCCGGAAGCTGTCCCGCGAATATGCCGCTTGGCCCAACAGAGTTACTATCAGATAGTTCACAGTGTCATCATGCTGAGCCGTCTAATACTGAGCCGTTAAATCCACTAAGTCGCCGCCTGGTATCGGCTAAACTGGTAGGCCATGGATACTGAGCCATGGAATCGCAAGGACCTTACGCACAACGCACAGGCTATCCTTGCTCAACGGTTCACGCAGCGGCTCGCAGACCCATATCTTACTAGGCAGGAGAGTGAAGAGCTTCCTGCGCGCTCTCATCACTGCAAGGTATAATGCAGTTTATCGTCGAAATGCCACGCAGCGTTTCAATCTGGGAACTTCGGTGGAGTAAAGCGTGACAAAGTTGATTGACAGTCCTGTCTAGTCCAGCTAAGTAAGACCTGAGCAATATATATTTAGTCTGATCAGCTTGATTTAGTCCGTGTTCCCATTCATTGCTCTCACTCCGAGGCAAGTGGCTGCGATGAAATGTAAGTTATAGAGATGTAGCAGGAGTCCTACATATAATAGGCATGGTGACTAGAAAGAGAAACGTTTGATCATATGCCCGCCAGGTACAAAGATAAGGACGAATGGGAGCTTATGATGACGCAGTAATAACGGCGAGAAGATAGTAGCCCGTATTGAACTGATACTTGGCTGTTGCCATCTTCTTTCGAGTACTCGTCCTTTCCACCCAATGCTTGAACACACTTGTGATAACCTTGACTTTTCGAACATCATCAATGAACGCCTGCCATTGCAGCCAAGCCGTGTTGAATCTGTGCACGTCTTGCGATGTGCTTGATTTCTGCAAGCTATAAACGCCAAAGGATCTGGGGTGTTCATACTCTGGACTTTCTCGTTATCAAGTATGAGCCATAAGAGAGTACCGAGTCGCAGATTTGGTAAGGCTTGTCGACAGTGCGAAGGCCAGTCTACTTTGGGGCAGGACTTCAAGATGAAGCCTAGACAAGTCCACTTCTGAAATTCTTCGCTGGAAAGGGCAGGTGCAAGCCGATGTGGTTTCATGATCAGCTAGCGACTAGTCACCAGGCCAGCATCTCCATGGCTCGGTTTCACTCGTAACGATATCAGCGCTCAATAGTGTAGTGGCTCAGGTCTCTTGGCTGACAGATCTGAAGATGCTAGTAAGATGAAGGCGCTGATCATCTGGGAGAATGTAGTAACAAGGCCAACAGGACCAGAACTACCCCATTCCGATTTGCGTAACTCCAAAACTATTCGAGACTTGCCCCCGTTCCAAGAAGTTTAAATTGGTTTAGAGAAGAGATAGGGATGATGTGAATGTATGAGCAGCAAGATCTCCGAGAGATTTCGCACAGTCCGTCATAGATATAAAGCTCAAAGGCATCCGAAAGCCATTCCGCCAAGTTGAGGGGTTTGTAAGGCCGTTGTGGCTTTTTCTCGCCTGTTTATGACGCTTGGAGAAGTCAGTCTCATGTATAATGTCGGACTGGGACACACACTGAGTTATAAGGACATTTGGGAGAAGTGATCTCCGTAGCAGAGATCGCGTACGTGTGGACCAATGAAAAGGCTGACGCGATATGTCTGGCTTACCTGCTGCGTCTGATGTGCTCCTAAACGGCCCCTTCGTGCTTACGGGAGAAGTAATGAAGAGCTCAATGAGGATGGCGACTTGCAAGTTCCTAGCATGGTCACCTACACTCCTACCCAGGCAGATCATATTCATGATAGGGATGACCACAACGAGAATATATGGACTGCTAATGGAGTTGTCTCTTTTAAGCACGGCTTCACGAGGTCGGGACCCATGCAGCTCGACAGGAATGCAGAACTAATTAGGCCTCCGAATGTTTTACCCAACCCAGTCATGACTGGGGATGCATCGACCACTCCTCGAGTCCACTAAGAAGAGCAGCCACTCCAGCAACATCCCGACTACCAAGAAGATCATCATTCGTAATTATACCGTATGTCCGCCGTGAATGGAGCTCGTCACCTGAATCCAACTCACATATCAATGCAGGTCATTGTCTGCAACACAGACATGCTCCTTTCGCAAACCGATGTCTTTGTACAGGAGCCAGGCAAAGGACACATCGTGCCAGGTGCAAAGCCAGTGGTATTGATTGCCGAAAATAGACAGACCAGAATGAATGCACGTAAAGAAGGGCTCACTTCGGTTTCCAGCGCGATTATACGAAAGCTTCTGTCATCACAGGTGAAAAGACCCGGATGATAGAGGAAAAATGAATGAAGCTCTTCCCTCCTTGGCATGACTCTCTCTATCTTTTACATGAAGGTGTCATCTGCCATGAACCAGTCTTCTCGCTACGTAGTCTAACTGAGAGCCTCGTAAAGAGTTGACTCTTCGCTAATATACATGTGACCTTACACTGCTTGTCCCCGGTCTTTCTGGTCGGATCCAGTCTCCCTTGCCGTATGCTTCTTTACGCTTTGATAGGGGCGGAAGTCGAGCTCTTCAACCACAACTCCTCGGTCTGCCTCTTGGCAGACAGCCCTACGGATAGCTTGATTGGTCAACTTATCAACACACACTGTTGTGTAATGTTAGAAAGTGCTTCACCTTCTTCTGAGCAGCACTTACACAACACGATGGTACGGCCTTTGCGCTCGTGCAGCTCGTGCGCAATAACACATGGCGTATCCATAGCGCAGAAGGTCTGCGTGATCCGAAGACCAAGGCGTTTGATATCTCCCTTGACCGTTTTCCGCGATAGGAATTCGCCACAGACGAAAAGCTGTATGTTGAGGATCTGCTTCCCCGTCAGCGGAGCCTGGTTAAGCGATATTACCAAAGCTTACCAAGTCGCGATCTCTTGCGAGTAAGGATTGCATAGTCTCCTGTACCCACGCCATGTGGACTGTCGCATAGGTTAGTTATCTCGCTTTGGGGTTTCTCAACTACTGAGCGACTCACGCTCGCAATCCATTTGCCAAAACAATTTGACTCCTCGCGCCTTGGCGTCGTGTGCATCGTAGTTGTCGAGCAGTTGCGCTACGTAGCCGATCTGGCCAATGATTCCAGTCCCTGTCGCGAAGAGTAAGACTGTCCCATACCCGCTCAAGTCCAATTCACGCCCGAAGGGGCCTTCGACAATTGCGCTGTAGCCTACGGCAGCCTTCAGCTGAGGTCGTGAGAGCTGACGAGTAAACCCTTTTCTTCTTTGAGCAATAATTGTAATGATCGTCTTGTCATGCTCTTGCAATGTCTGGTATATGTAGAATGGGTGAGACTCCAGGAAGGCCAGCGAGCTGGCACTAGGAACAGTGATATACACGTACTGTCCCGCACGCGGCTTCCATGAGCGAGCCAAACAAATATGCAACTGGACTGTGTCGGTCAGCAGTATATCATTGTGACCTGTGCGATGATAGACAACCTCATGCATTGTAGCACAGGGCTTTGCACCGCCTCGTGCAACGTTGCGGTACAGTGCATAGGCAAGGCGCATCATGTTTACGGACAGGTAGATGCCAGCCGCAACCACAAGATACAGCAGCGGCGGCTTGTGATATTCCGAGTTATTAAGATGCAGTCGCACAGCAATACAAACTGCGAGGAACAGAACCACGTGGGCCTTCATGAACCATTCGTAGAAGTATACGCGGATTGGACCTACAGATGATAGTAGTAGGAGTGCCATTCCAGCTGTAGCCTGTTACACAACGGTCAGAACGAGATAGGACTCAACCGGAAGACCTACTGTGAGGGAAGCCACGTTTGGAGCTTGATTCATGGGGTGAGTCTGCAGAGCGAGAGCAATCCCGGCGTGGGTGGCGGCTTCCAAGATGGCCAGGACTCCAAGAAGATAATGCACACGGAAGTATAGTGGCAAGGGAACCAGAGCAAGATCAGCCACTGCATTCATTCGAGCCCCCATGGCAAGACATGCTACATTAATGACAGACATGCGTGCTGTCCGGCGCGAGACATCGGAGTAACCGTGTACATGCACGGCAGCCGATAACACGTTGATGAGGAAGACTAGGACCAGTAGTGTCGCGTGTGAGTGTGGAATCGAGTGCAGCAGCCGGATAACCTGCCCCGTCTTATAGCAAGCGCGGCGAAACCATCTAGCTACTGGGCGTGGGTAGAGTGAGCGTACAACAAAGAGACATAAAGATGTGGCGAGGATAACAGCTATTGCACCGCCAAGAACGATTGAGTACCAGAACGTGAAGTCCACGCTCTGGAACTCCATAGCAAGTCTAAAGCGCATGCAGCAGTAACCGTCGCTTTTCGAGTGAGCTGGTGAATCCATTAAAGGAGTGCTCTAGCCAAGGTCAGTATTTGGCCCTGTTCTATTTAAGGAGCTGGCCTTCACCAGATAGGAGCATATACAATCGGATAGGTCCTAGATTAGGATTGTATATACCTAAGTATAGCCTGAAATGAGGCACCGGCTATACTTAGGCATATACCCTACTTTATTCAATCTAACACAATCAATCTGACCAATCGTATTGAGACTGTACCGTCTTGGCACTCATTTTGAGGCGTGGATTGAGCTTGTATTCTCTAACAAAATTTTGGCCCAGATTGAGATTGCATAGATTCGGTTTGTATATGCCCATCTCTGGCTTTCACACACCAGTATAGCGCGCACTATCGATGGTAGAGCCGCCCAATACTTAAGCATAATCAGAGTGTAAATATCTACTAAAGGCAGGCAGAAAGATCTCTCTAGGGTCGTAGGATTGTTCGTGTCTCACGACGACAGCAGACATAAATACACTGCACTGGTTGTGGTCCGGCCCATTTTTCTTCCTGGTACTAAAGATAGCCGTAATGTGGAAGGGCGCTCAAGACGCTGCACACTTTGCGCGGCTGCACACTTTGCGCCACTGTCTATCCCCCAAGAGATGGTGGGGCACCCTCGTTCCCCTCTTCCACTGAGCTTCGTGCACCGTATCTAAACCCCTTCTCTCAAGTGTAACACTGCAGCATCTTCAAAAGTTATGCTAAAGTTTGCTCTCCCAGTGATTCTGACCTTCTTAGGCATAGCGAGAAGCGTGTCCCAGCAAGATACTCAGTCACCTCGATTGGTCATGTACTATGATCAGTAAGCATATCCTGAGGCAACTTCAGGAGGCGCACAACACTAAACAGGTATCAGATGGCATCCAGATGCTTCGATGGATTTGATATGTTCCAAAGGAATCACGCATTTTATATTGTCGTTCATGCTAAGCCACCACCTTAACAACGAAACACTCGATCCACTGTGGACGGCTGGTGAACCTGGCCATAAATGGCATGTCAATGCGTTGAAAAGCCTGAAAGTGAATTGCCCCGATGTCCAACTCAGTCTTGCGATTGGCGGATGGAACGACGACCCCGAAATCGGTTGGCGGAAGACCATAGAGAGCGACGCTAGCCTGTCTCTGTTCGCACATAATCTCCACAGAGTTCTCTATGGCGATTTCCCCATATTTGAAAACCATCAATTCGATGGAGTTGGTAAGTAAGTCCCTTCAAACTTCCTGTTGGAATGCTATTGATCGCCGTAGATATCGACTGGGAATATCCAGGCGGGAATGCTGTTGACTACAAGAGTAGCCCACAGGCCGCAGACCGTTTGCTCGGCGAAACGGACGGTTACGTCAAGCTTCTCCAGGCTATTCACGCCGATCTATCACCAGACGGAAAACATTTGTCCATTGCAGTTCCAGGAAGGCCTAGTGACATGCTTGTCTTCGAAGACAGTGCCAAGGCTAAAATGATATTTGAGTCCGTGGACTTCGTCAATCTAATGACATATGACCTTTACAATCGACGAGATAACATCACCGCCCATCACTCCTCGGTGGAAGGCACCTTGGCTACGGCGAACGCATATCTCGAAAAGGGACTACTTCCGGGCAAGATCAATCTCGGGTTTGCACTGTATGCTAAGTGGGCTCATGTGAGCGGCATCTGTACTCAGCTGGGTGGGCTTGGCTGCGATACGTTTGCCCTGGAAGACAGCCAAGGAGCAGATACCTTTCAATCCGGCTCCATGACTTTCGAAATGAAGAACACGTTAGACGTCCCTCAGAGCTTCTCTGTGCCGGATGGTGGTCGCTGCGGCCCTGGTACAGGAGCCAAATGTAGTCCGGGCTTCTGCTGCTCCAGCAAGGGCTGGTGGTGTGTACGATGCCGTTGTTAATGCTCTAGAGAACTAACCCAAGTTCTAGTGGCGACACTCCCGAGCACTGTGGCTATGGTAGATGCAATCCTCCATATAGCGGCTCCGACAGCTGCCAAGGTCCTGACCTCTGGAAATCCTGGAAAGCCGCGCTCGCGGATCCTATAGACGACAGTCATCGCCGTCGACAAATCCTTCTAGTATCAGTCAGGTTGATCAACCAACAGGCGTTGTAGTAAACGTAAACGCCGGCAGCGAGCCACTGCAGTCTTCACCGTCGAAAGAGTCTCCACCAGATGGTGGAGTCGTAGACTTGGTGGTTACCCTAACAGCAGATTTTACGCCGCCTCCTGTGGTCACGATCGTAACTTGGATAACGCAGGTGGGCTAGCTTTGCATCATTGGGCCCTGATTCCCCAGACATTATTGAGAGTCACATGGAATAGAAATGACGGGTTTTGACTTGCTGTAACACGGTTTCTGATAAGAACCTTCACAGGAAATTAATGAAGCTCTTCCCTCCTTGGCATGACTATCTCTATCTCTTACATGAAGGTGTCATCTGTCTCTCGACTTAGCGACTGCTCACGAACATTCGACCTCAATGTAGAGCAGTCAGATGCATCCGACAATAAAGTCTCTTTAGAGAGATAGAGAGGTATCTTAAATGGTTCTTAGAAGAGGGCCCGTGCGAAAACCGCGTCAGGTTCTAGGAACACCACCTTGTTCCTCTTCTCCAAGAAACTAGACCCTCTTATTATAGAGTAAATTAGAGGGTATAGAGCTTAAAAAATATATAGGATTAATCGCCTTACTCTACTCTATAAGTCTATATAGATATTATTATATATAGACCTCAATATAGAGTTAGAGAGGTAAAATAACCATCTAATTTGGGTGTGTGAACACACGCGTGGAATCGAAAAATGCCGAGCGACTCAGGTTCTAGGAAAACGACGGATGGACAAACGGATTGTCGGGTCGACCGACACCACCATTGCCGCGCGCGCGAAGCGAGAAAGGCACAGCCGTAGCGCAGGGTCGTTTATAATTCCCCTTTAGTTCGCATTGAGTGCCGCTAGAACGAGCGGAGAAGACTGCAAAGTAGCCATTCGGCCACTCGGGACATCGTCATCGGCTACACGTACTTGCCAGAACCCTGAGTATCGGGCACTAAAGTGCTGGAACCATGAGGAGCTCAAGCCGTGCTACCTGCTCAGTGGGTACACTTGGGACACCACCACAGTCACTACTATGAGGCTCATATGGTCTCCATAAGACGTCCTGCAACGAGTCCCAGCTCTGAATGGTGTATTCATGATCGATCAACTGCGCTGGTCGATAGTCCAGGCTTCGTAGCTCTGACTCTATCAGGTAAGGAGATCCATTGGCGCCTGACATAAAGTCGCACGACCCGGCAGTATCTTGTGCAAGATCAAAATCATGTAGATTTAATATCGATTCTGTAGAGCTCTGGGGGGGATCCCTGCTCTCTTGCTCTCTAGCCCTCTTTACGTTTTGTTCCTGGTATAGCTGTTGTATGTATTCGTCGACGTACTTTGAGAAGAGAACCTGATCATGGTATTGCAACAACGACTCCTTGATCACGGATTGGCCCATCTTGAGGTCCCACCCCTGCTCCCACAGTCCCGGATGTCTTTTTCTTAGTATGTCAAGACGGCTGCGCAGAGATGCCAGTGACCTTCGTTGTTGATACTTAAGGGCGTTTTGGAGGGTAGTAGCGCAGTCTTTGAATGTTTTGCGACCAAATATCTTGAAGAAAGCGAGTAGAGCCATTTCCAGCTCAGTCCAATGGTGATAGGCTCGGGAACATCGTCGAGCCCGAGATCGTTTCATGTCTCAAGAGTCTGGTAATCGAGAGTTGAGAAAAGATCGAAACGATCGCCTTGCTAGAGTCGATGTAGATATTATAATAGAAGACTCTTCTATAGAGGTAGAGAGGCAAACTACTAAGCGCTAGCCAAGTACAGCCTTGCATGCCTAGACTTCATTCGCGCGCAGTGCCTGCAGTGGCGATTTCAAGTCTACCAGTCTTTGTTCGCACGTTCGATGCAAGCCTTATTAGAGGAAATTGTCTGCAGTCAGTCATGGTCATCAACACCTAAAACAGCCCGAGAATCTCGCCAGATCCTTGAAAGTGGGGATACAAAGAATCCTTGGCTGCACTCTCTCGTCAGCCCGGTCTACTCCGGTACGGCGCAGTCTATCGCACCTCCTTTGGCTGCCTAAACTAGGAGCGCTAATACAACCGGGTAAGACATGAATGGCTCTTCTTCACACCTAGGCATTGCTGGGAGGCTATCCTTGACGGAACGCCAGAATAATCAACAAAGGCATGGCGACTGTGCCTCAAAGCCGTCCCGTACTGGGCTAATGCATCAGAGATAACGTTACACGACACTTGAACGATGCGGTATACCCCACATATCTTCTTTCTTGCATAGATTAGACGAGCGAATGGCCATTAAAATTGCAGCCGGACTGTCGGAGAAACCGCTCGTGAATGCAGACTAATTACCGTGTCACAGCTCGTAAGGCTACGACTAGCGCCCGTTATGCGGCTCCTTCCATCTTAGCCCGTCGCGCAGTCTTTAAATTTTTTTGCGGCTAAATATCCCGAAGTAGGCGAGGAGAGCTATTACAAGCTCAGTCCAGGAGTAGTAGAGTTAGGGGCACCATCGATCCTGAGATAGTTTCATGCCTTAAGAGTCTAAAAGAAAATAATCTGCGTAAGGCGGCTTAATATTCAAACCAGGTCATAGGGTAGCGCCACGCGGGCAGAACAAAGCAGAATATCAAGGGCAGCGATTTAGACAGACGGCTAATTAGATGATCCTCCACCGTCCTTGTTACCACGGTGCCGCCATGGCGGGTAAAGTCACGCGAAGCTAGAAATGTAAAGGAGCCGTGGGAGCTAATTACCCAGGAGGCGCTAGTTACAGCCTGACACCTTCACTCGCATTTCTTGCGCTATCGCGCTCATTCGACTAGGCGTGTTCCGCGTAACAATCACATCATGCGCATAATAGGAAATGAAGTGTGACATCCATCGGCTTATCGATAGGGGTGCTGAATATCACACTATTCTTCATTCGTATTTCGACTGATTTTAACATGACGACCGTGATGATCACTAGAGCCGATATTACACATGTCTTAAGAATGCCACCTATATCCCGACGCAGTCTCTCTACAATGTATCTACTACTGAGCATCCCATACATTGTTCCATGGTGCCTTGGGTGCATCTAACTAAAGCTTGTAGCGGAGATTGATTGACAGCATATGTCTCTAGCTTTGTTAAAGTTGACTCATAATCTAGAGATGTGGCGATAGCTTACTTACTGCTTCTGCAGGCAAGGCGGCAGCTGTCTCATTTCTTTGTAAGACGGAAGTATCTGTTCCTAATCGCGTCTTCGCTGCGAGGGCGGTTCGAGAACTTTTCGTTATACAACTTTACAAGCTCCCCCCAACTTATGCTCGGATTCTTCTCTAACATTGTGATTAGCCAAGCATTTTCTTCCTCTGTCCAAGCAAGTCCGGCCATGTCGAAAGTAATGAGTGCTTAGCAGGTGGTGTATACATAACACCTGCGGGTACTGTACAGTAGACTGAAGGCTTTATAGGTTAACCAAGTCGTCCGTCTTAACACCTGCACATGTACGGCGCAGTATGGTAGTGACGCTACACTAACGTGTACTCGCATTCCGGCTTAATGTCGCTATCTACTAGAAGACTGTCTGTCAGAGGAGGAACTTTTGCTGAGCCATGATTTTGCCGAGCCATGATTTTGCTGAGCCATGATTTTGCTGAGCCATGATTTTGCTGAGCCATGATTTAGTAGTAGCAATCAATCTTACTCTAAAACTTCGACTGGGGTAGCCCAGGACTTTTTGTACCTACCGCGTATAGACGAGTACCTACGTGCCTTCGGCCAGTCAACAGTGTTTAGCAGGAGGACTTGACTTCAGGGTTCTGGCAAGTACGTGTAGCCGATGACGATGTCCCGAGTGGCCGAATGGCTACTTTGCAGTCTTCTCCGCTCGTTCTAGCGGCACTCAATGCGAACTAAAGGGGAATTAAAAACGACCCTGCGCTACGGCTGTGCCTTTCTCGCTTCGCGCGCGCGGCAATGGTGGTGTCGGTCGACCCGACAATCCGTTTGTCCGAATTCGACGTAGGTTAAAAGCTGGCTGCTTGCGACAGCATATGGTAGGATACGAGGAATGGATAGCTGTCCTATGTTGCCGTTGGTGGTAAGAGACTATGCCTATGTTAGCTTTGTCGCCACTTGTCTGCGCATAGAGCTTTACCTGTCTCAAAGTACTGACGGTGAGGTGTGCTAGGCACAGGTACCATATCATCTGAGAGTACTCAGGCTCATCAAGTATAAGATAGCTAAAAAGTGTGCTGAGCCCGCTGCAGGTCATTTTCAGCTGACTGGTCGCTGCGTGTCGGAATCGAAGGATGAGAGCCATTCCACACTGGATAAGCAGTAAGAGAAATAGAGAAGAATATACCATGCAATCGAACACAGAACATAGAAAGAGCGGGCCGAACAGTATTGAGACATCTTGCGGCATGTTAGAACATCCTATAGGGAGTGGTTGGTGTTGCTTCTATCAATTTTATAAGGAAGAGTAACGTTGGGCTGTACATATCTATACTATTTTTAGAGCGAGGGCTACCTCATCCATGCGCATAAAGAGCGGCGGGGCGGGGGGCGAAGCAGTACCTTACAGGCCGATCCATATTAGGACCGCAGTCGATATATTTAGACGTCCCCTTGGACTAAAAAGCGAACGCTGCTATCGTGGACGGTATGTGTCAGCGGGCCACACTTTTTTTTTACCGAGGGCACACACCTTAAAAGCATACTCATATATATTAAACCTACTCCCCCCCTCTCTAAATATCCCTCTCTTTATATATAATACGTGCCTATCTATATATATTTTCTCTCTTTATATAATAGCGTAATAGATAGCCTATCTCTAGATAGAGATTATCTTAAAATATACCTCTAGTTATACCTAGAATAATCTCCTAGCCTCTTATCCCAAGCCGGCTGATCCTCCGTCCGTAGAAACAATAACAAAGCGGCCTACAAAGCGCAGGCTAGACACAAACAAGAATTTGCCGGTACCAAGACTTGCACAGATGATTGAGAGGAAGATGTCTGAGAACTTCCAGCTAAGAGAAGAGTTGCAGTGGGAGCGAGACCGCTTCTGGTCAAGCTGCCAGGCAAAATCATTCCTTGCAGCAGAGGTTCAAGCCGTGGTAGAGAACCTTCGTCAGATCCTAGCCGACTTCGAGCGGCTTGTCGCACCAGAAGATGCTCTGAGCCAGCCTAGAGACTTGCCTTGGAGCGAGAGCGATGAATGGGACATTGAAAGGGCGCAGGCTCCACGTGCCCAACGCTGTGTGGCATTTCACTGAGAAACTGCATTATACCTTGCAGTGATGAGGGCGCGCAGGAATCCTGCCTAGTAAGATATGGGTCTGCGAGCCGCTACGTGAACCGTTGAGCAAGGATAGCGTGCGCTTTGTGCGGAAAGTTACTTGCGTATTCGTTTCCGTCGGCCTACATAAGTCCGTCATGGTTAAGTAGCATAGATTAAGCTGCGAGTTTCGGTAGGTGACAGTATACGGACTGGAGGGTTGATTCTCGGGCCACTGGCAAGATGAGCTGCCAAACTAGTGGAGCCGTATAGATACTGAGCCGTTAAACCCACCATACTGAGCCATGAGATCCATCAAGGTATCGCCGCTGAGCCGTAAATATACTAGGACAGTATATATGTGCTATCAGGCTCGCAGGAGCCTCTCCTCGAGTCTAAAACGAGTGCAGACCAAGCCCAGTCAGTAGCGATACTATGACACACAAATTATGCTACTAAACCATGACGGACTTATGTAGGCCAATGGAGACGAACACGCAACCATGCTCGCAACAGAGCGCTTCATGCTGGAGTCACGACCACTGGTATGGATACCATATATCTCCAGCGTATGGCTCACGCGAGACTGTCCATTCGACCGCGCCGCAGTCACTCGAAAGAATAGAGTACTCCGCTGCCAACCCTTCAAAGCCTCAATATTCTTCATATCTAATAAGGCAGACGCCTGTGGGAGACACGACAAAGGAGAGTCAGTCTTGTAGGATTGCGAAAGATTGCAAGAACTTTCCGCACAACGCGCAGGCTATCCTTGCTCAACAATTCACGCAGCGGCTCGCAGACCCATATCTTACTAGGCAGGAGAGTGAAGAGCTTGCTGCGCTCACCGATCTAAGTGTCCGTCAAGTACAAGTATATTTCGCTAATGCTCGTGCGAGGAAGCTCTGTCGAGGACAAGCGAAAGCATCTGCAGGTACCAAGAGTGTCAAAAAGCTTGGCAAAGATTCCGACTTGTGTTCTCCACATTCGAATCTCGACCCCATCCAGAACTACAGACCACCGAAGAAGCGTAGACTGAAGAAATCGCAGCGCATTCAGCCTGATCTTACCGCATCGCTACTCCGGACACCGTCTTCTCCCGATCACATCTTCCAGTGCACTTTCTGTGTGCAGGACTTCAAGCGCAGGTATGACTGGGAGCGACATGAGCAAACTATACATCTCCGCTTGCAGCAGTGGATCTGCATGCCCGAACAGGCTGTAACATCTTCATCAATCGCGAAGAAGACTCAGTGTGTATTCGGTGGAATGAACAGCCCCACGTCTTTGCATCTACAGTCACACGACCTGTGTCAATGTATCAAGAAGGAAGAATCAAGACGTACGTTCACCAGGAAAGACAAATTCATTAAGCATATTGAAAATTGCCATAAGATTTTCAATCCGAACGAGGATATCTTGTCGCGATTTTCAAAGCCCCAGATCGAACCCAGTTACTGGTGCGGTATTTGTGGTTATCTTCTGAACTCATGGAAGCACCGTGTTACGCATATCTCGGAGCACTTCAAGCGAGGCGAAGACATGCGTTTTTGGATGGCTGTCCCAGGTGCTGTGCAGTATGTTAGTGGCACGCAAAGGCTCAATCATTCCTTCATCGTATATGGAGCGAATCCACTGACATAGCCGGTAGTACCCTCACGCTCAGCTCTCTCATAGGAAAAGCACAGCGCCGAGGTGAACCAGGCTTCCACTGATTGCTCCAAGCAGCCCCTTGATGTTGAATCGGGACATGGGTTGTCAACTGTATGGATTAGGCTAGGCTCTAGGCGGGAGGGATAAAGACCTACAAAGACGTTCGATGCTGTGAATGTCGTATCAATCCCGATAGTTGCAAAAACCATCGCAAAGAAAGCGTAGTGCCAGTAGCTGGCTCCTGGGGGAGCAAGTATGATGATCGCGAATCATCTGGATTGTATTCCATGACCTTACACTTGATCTCAGCTTGCGATGCACCCCGTTGTCGAATGCCTGCCGAGTTTAGCTCCAGTTAAGACTCAATTATTTAGATCGTTCTGTGGATGAGATAGTTCCAGACACTCACTGGGATTTGATTACGACGTTAGGCTTGGTTAGAATACTATACATTTGGGTTACGAAGCAGAAATCAGCATCGAGGTCGACGGGTGCGCAAGACTTCAATCAAGCGGTTTATTGTATTTTTACATATCAAGCCACACAGACAATCGAAACGCCCAAGATTACGTGGAATATAGAACGCGGAAATAATGTGTCCGAGAGGTCCCCCAAAAGAAAACGTCATATTTTCGTAGTTCTTACGGCAGCATTCAACCAAGGATGAGAGCACTTGCGTGTACGGCTGCCCTGGCAATGTCCCTCCTTACGTTGGCAGTCGCAGCAGTGAATCCTACATTATACTCACCGAATTCTAATGCTATGTCTCCGACGCAGACGAGCAATGATGACAAACGATCACGTACGTATATACTTAAATGCAGCTTCTATCCAACTACTTACACATATATAGTGCATCGCCTCGGTTTCCACGGATGCCATGGTTACCATCACGGGCGTCCACCCCCGGACAGTCATTGCTGATTCCATGTTCGGTGCCCTCGCACACTACTTCTAGACTCTCAAATTGATCTTGGAAGGGAGTTAAACGATGTTTTCTGTGCGGGGAGGTCCTGGACAGACCTGAGCCGTCTTTGCTTTGTGTAATGTAATGATAGTTAAGATAGGAGGCTATCACACACAAAAAGAGACCAGCTGCATCAAGGCACCGTATATTAGATCCTGGCTGCATAAACATGTGAAATCGCAGGAGATGTCAAGAAACGTGAATTAGAGGCCAGTTTTCTTTTGTTATGCCCTCTCAACAGATATGGCGATTGTAGATATATACGAATCTTGCATATGTGTTGGTTTTTTAATAATGCAAAAGACAGTGCAAGGAGTGCGAAGTGTGTTCACAGAGCACTTTAGTCTACCTCGCGGTATATTTGAACCGGGCTGTCAGTTCTAGTAGTAGAATTGAAGTTGAGTGAAGTTTAGTAGATAGTCTGTCTAGAGTGAAGAAATAGCGTAAAAATACGGTAAATTTAAGTCTATATAGAAGATTTTCGTACGCCTAGACGACTTTTATATACCTAGATATATACTTAAGAGTACTAAGTCGTCTAAAACGTCTATTCGTTAAGTAACTATTAATACTCGATGGAAGTTTTGGCCCGAAAAACCAGTTCTAGGCTCTAGCGTAGGTCATCGCAGAGGCGGGTCAGAATCTTAGTAGGATAAAGCTCAGGATTCGACTTTTTGGAATATCCTTGGACAGGAACTCTTTCGGCCAGAGCACTGCATTGTTTCAGCACTCACTTTACCTCTGCTTTCTCTCCACAATACCACGTACTTAACCCATACGGCGCCATATTCACGGGTTTTGAAGGGTCGAGATTGTCAATAGAGCTTGAGCTGACTTGTACCGTACATAATCGGGAAGTACTAGTTATATTGATAGGACCTGACTTCTTTTCCAAGTCAAATGCTCGAGCATCCAGCCGAGTAGAACAGAGCTGGAGCTGATCTATCCAATACTCTTCCTGGGTAATACGAAGCTCGAGCAATGCTACCTGCTCAGGGAGTCCATGATATGGGTCTATCTGGACGACCCGAGGCTCACATTCTCTCCAAGAGATATCTTCTGACGTGGTGTTCCATGTTGCGGTCGTCTCCTGCAGCGACTCCCAGTTTTCTTGTTGGAACTCGATTGGCCACGGAGATTGACATTGTCCCCTCAGAAGATCCAAGTCCGGCTCGAAGGAGTATTCATTGACGTCAGCGAACAAGTCGGAGGAGTTGCAGAATGCCTGGATCGTGTGAGTAATCCAAGGCAGACGTCGGAGATGGGGGCAAGTCCACTTCTGAAATGCTTCGCTAGAAAGAGCAGGTGCAAGCCAATGTAGTTTCATGATCAGCTAGCAACTAGTCACCAGGAAAGAATCTCTCACGGCTCGGCTTCACTCGTAACGATACTAGCGCTCAATAGTGTAGTGGCTCAATAAAGTCTGACGGCGCAGTAAAGTATGACGGCTCAGTAAAGTGTTGCTTCAAGAATTCGTGCCTCTGTAGTCATGTTGTCTAGAAGATGGCGATAAGCTCCTAGGTGGTACAAGAGTTTCTCAAAGATTCATATGCATGATGCACTGTACTTTCTTACTAGCGGACGCTGTGATTGATGGAGAACAAGCACTGTATTGTTTACTGAGTCCTCCGCGACAGTCGAAAGGCTCACTGCTAATCAGCTTAGTAGATCTTGTTACAGGGCCGTAAAGTACGAAGACTCGCCTAGAAGTCGGTCCACTGGTTGCCTGCTTACTGAGCCTCAAACGTCGATATCCCAGAGAGGCGTCCTGCGCGCCCTGTAGCTCTCATCACTGCAGGAACCAAGAGAGGGCGTGTGGCATCAGGCATGATCCATCGATACTTCCCACTGTGTGCATGCCCATTTCTCCATCGAAGGATCACAGAATTCGCTACGAGTCGTCCACGGTAGATGGCAAAACTCTCGGAGATGGCGTCAATGTTGAGTAGTTATTAGCTTGCTACGTCTTCCTACAGCTGTCCTACGTCACGACAATTAGCTACTTATTATTGACAGCGTGGGCTCGGAAGTTCTTGGTTTTCGCCTACGATGATCGCGAATCATCTGGATTGTATGCCATGACCTTACCAGGTTTAGCCCCAGTTGAAGCTCAACTATCTAGATCATTCTGTGGATGAGATGATGTCAGACATTCACTGAGATCTGATCACGATGTTATGCTTGGTAAGAATACTATAAATTTGGGTTACGAAGCAGAAATCAGCATCGATTGTAGCAATCAACTATGCCGAAGCCATCAACCCTAAGTGAACCACTTCGCCCAGCAGCTCTTCATATAGCTCAAGGGGAGGTCCGGTGATAGTAGATGGGGTTAGGGACAAATACCACGATCGATGACTGCACCCATAGCCGCTGCCAGGGCAAGGTCGACTCTTACTTGCTCTAGTGATGACCTGACGAGCCTCTAAACTCGAACGAAGGGCAGTAAGCATCTGGGAAGAGCTATCCATGGCCTACACACGGAGTAGCCGCGTCCAAGCCCTCAACGGTCGTCGTGCCGTCAAAAGAGACTACTCGCCACGGATCAGTTGTGCAAAGAGGGGCCGGCAAGAGCCCACAAATTACAGGTGATTGAACATCCGCTTGTTAATTAGGGACGAGCGGATTATTAGTCAAGAGACACAGAAGACACAGAAGACACTAACCAAGATACTATCGAGAATTCATCCATCGGGAAAGATGATGCTTATATAGTCATGATACGATCGAATGTAACCTTGATAAAGGGGCGCCATTCGTGTATGAAGGTCTTTGATGCTGAGAGATCCTCAGTTTCGCTCTCTTTACCGATGACTCTAAGCTTGGTAGTGAAAGTAGCGTAAATAAAGATCGCCCAATCCTTCACAGCTCTGCTACTCTCTCGAAAAATTTCCCGACTGGATCATGGTAGTAATCAATGTATTTATCATGACAAAGTAGTGCGGGCATAATATAAATCGAGTTGATGAGATTGTGGAGCTGCTGCTCGATAGTGGTGCTGATGTCAACGCGCAAGGTGGACGCTACGGCAACGCACTTCAAGCGGCTTCATGTAGAGGCCACGAGCATACTGTGAAGCTGCTGCTGAACAAGGGCGCTGTTGTTCACGACAGTGCACTCCAGGCAGCTGCAGATGGAGGCCACCAGCAGACTGTGAAGCTGCTGCTCGACAAGGGCGCCAATGTCAACGCGCAAGGTGGATTAAGGGCCTTGCGTGAAGGGTGAACATAGAATAGGAACTAGTACACATCAAATCAGATCTAACCCGGCTAGAAGGCTAGATCTGGGGAGCGAATTGGAAACCAAGCCGACCTTCCAGTCAACAGGGGTCTGCAAATTTAAGGGATTTTGGATCGTTTTTTGACCTTTCTAACCTCCAATACCCCCATATTCAACCGACTATTTGAAATCTCATCTCACCTCCAGGTTAAAACCCGAGTGGAGGACTGTGGCTTCGGGATGGATGAACTTACTAATTTTAGGTATGGTTGGAGTTCAAAATTGACATTTTTTGAGCAGCAAGTATTTTTCGCCCAGGAGGAGGTGAGTACGATTACTTGGCACTCTGCGACGTAGAGTCAGACGATAGAACCGCTGGAAAAGGCGGACGAGTCGAGGACGTATATAAATGAAGCACAAAGAACACATGATGAGATTCACGATACCAAACTCTTTCCAATATCTAGACTTATCCAGGCGGGACTGTCTACCAGTAGCTCTACAAACCATGCTGCCAGAATCAGAGGTGACAGACATGGTAAGAACACTATGGAACTGATAACAGTGCAGCTCCATAATGCATTCATTTGTATCGATCGCGATATTCAAGAGAGATGTCTTCCGGTTCGTACAACTGAGGGGATAGGGACCTCTTGACCGAATGACTTAATCATGTCGTCCAATCTCTTTGACGGCCTCAATGAAATGAATGGTTGGAACCCTGGCAGATTACCGAGCCATATATCGCCTAGAACACTGCTGGGTCCATTGATAATTATGTCTTGAATATAGCTCTTCTCGAACTGAATCGCCCCTTCGATATGTTAGTTGATAAAGGTTCCGCTACGGCTATGGACTGGGCTGGCGAGAGGCTGGGTTTCCGGGACTTCTAGACTGAAGTGATGATATATGGGGGGTTCCAATTTTGGCCTTAAGTTGGGTAGTATTCAATTATATATTGGGTGTTATTACGCGACTGTAAGACTGCCAACTTTGATAAACGGTGGCAAGATGGCCATGGACATGATGGGAGAGAGAGAAGCGAAGTTTGATTGACTATGGGCTTTGCGAACCTGCTGCTATGGAACCGTGGGCCCCATTGTATAGCGCAGGACATTACCAACGAAGTTCTCCAGACAGAATTTCCACGAGAGCAGTGAATGTGATTTTCAGCTGTTCCTCGTCCGTATTAATCGTGCGATCTGGTCGGTTCTCTAGTAGTAAAGATTCAAAGTCTTATACACGGTGCTTCGGATCTTTCCGACTCTGAGTTTTAGGATGAGAGTGAAGTAGACGCAGCCTCTAGTCCAGCCGTGGCAGCAGCGTTTAGTTAGAACACTAGCTGGTTGGCTCGCTATGCAATCTCATCATGCCCCAACGTCCAATGCATTGCTTCAGCAGAGCGCCACGGAACACCCATCTCCGGTGCAATCTTCTGCCACATTTCTTCTTTGAAGCTAAGATTGTTCTGCGGCGATTCATCGACTAGTGGCGTTTGTGATGCTGTGCGCTTGATGTAGAGGCTTCGTAGAGGTGGAGAAGGCAATCCAGAGTGACCTGAGTTGTAGTGAGGCGGTCCGTTATGATGGGCACCGAAAGATAGGGGTTGAAAGGCGTTGTTATGGTGAAGCTTTTTAGGTTGTTGCAGAGGCTGAATAGATAGAGAATGTGGAAAAGGTTGCAGATTTGATATATGCAGGAACTGGTACGTAGGAGATTGATGAGCAGAGGTCGCAGTTGGCGAAACTACGGATAGAGAGTTGGTGTCGCATATGCCCAGGCAGGCGTGCAGTGCGGAGTTGAAGTCGACGTCGAAGTCAGCTCAAGTCTGCTTACGCGGGCCGCGGAGCTCGTCGAAGAGGTGGTATGCTTATTGGCAGCAGTCTAAGACGCAGAGTCTCGCGACTCGAGAAGGAGTGAGATATGTCTCTAAAAGTCTCAGGCGCGGGTGAAAGGAGTCGCAGTGTAGCAGTGTTCAACGAGGGTTTCTCAAGCGTCCAGCTGTATTATATGTACTATACGAGTCGGCTATTATACTTTATATCTAAGCCGTCTTACTAAGTAATATAGAATAAACTTAAAGCACGTGTATATCCGTAGCCTATAAGGTTAAAAACAGTCAAAAACAGTCAAAAACACTTGTAATCAGTGTTGTTTTGAGCCTGCAAGGTCAAAATCAGTCAAAAACACGTGTAATCAGTGTTGTTTTGAAGCTTGCGAGGTCAAAATCAGTCAAAATCAATCAAAAACACGTGTAACGCAAAAGAAAGCATGTCGACTTAGCTAGATGAAATGCCAAATCTAGCCCCTGTATATTCATATATGTGCTGCTTCGGAGGCGCGGTTATGCTCCCTCCGACTATCAAAGCTATATACTGCTCTTGGCAACAAGGTGTTGCCAAGAGCGGCTACTTTCGCAAGGTCGCCTTACGGCGCTGCAGTACCGACTCGAATCACACCGAGAGTTTCAAAGTGTGGTCACGGTGGCGCTGTGGATATGCCGGTCACAGCGCAAGCCATGTAGCTCAATGCATGAGTAGGAGTGTAGGTGACCATGCTAGGAACTTGCAAGCCGCCATCCTCATTGAGCTCTTCATTACTT